ACGTCGGCGCACCGTTTCGAAACAGATGGCTCGGTATCATCACTTTCCAGGTGTGAGTCTCTGTAGTTTCCTTAGTACTATTTCCGGGTTTATTTGGGGAGTAACCACTAGGTCTTCCTCCGGTGAAGTACTAGTGTCACCATTTTGGTCCATACCTGTAATACGGACATTGCTGTTTGACTCTTTGGCGAAGGCTAAACTGAATGTTTCCACCATCTCCAGACTAGTGAGGTGTTGACCGTTTGGACCTACTAAGGCGCATGCCCCCTGGTTGGTTGGTTCTCTCTCCGATGTGAATCGATAGAAGATTTTGGGGTTTGCTAGAAGTTTTTTGGCAAAGTTTGCTTAAATTGACCTCCTGTCACTCCTGATCCTCACATTTCACCGGTTCCTAATTTCTAGGTACGCGTCGTGGTCGGTCTGACTCTTGATATTCGCCACGTAGACCAATCGTTCCACTTTGCTTGCAGAATACGTTGCCTACCTATCTTCAGCTATGAAAACTTTTTTTCGGTTGTGTTGTGACTAAAGGGAAGGTATCAGGGATTGCCGCATGAATAATCTCTTTCACCACTTCCCAGTGTTTATCCACAGATAACTCATCCCATGCTAAAGGTCATTCTGCGTCGGACAAAAGCCTCCGCATTTCAGCATAGTCAGCCTTGCTGTGACACAGACGTGGTCGCGTAACGTCCCACCGCAAGTGCTCACGGAGAACAAGATCGAAACGCCTGCGTACATGTTACTTTCCAGTTTGTTGTATTAAACTTGTTTAACGTAGATTGCGTAAACAAAGCGTGATTCATTGAATGTGGCAAAAGGCTGTTTATAAAACAGAGAGCTAGAGCTTGCAATGTTCATACGATGTGGACTCGTGTAGCTGAGATATGTCTCGGCTAACACCGTGGTCCCAAATTAAAATCTCATAACTCAACGATGGTAAGCCTATGTGACTGAGTAGAATAGTCACTACTGACATTAAGTGGGAAACTTAGTCTTGTTAATTGAGTTCCTAACCCACAACTCATGAAGAATGAGGCGCAATTCCATACGAATAGGACGTGACGAAACACGAAATTATCATACTTTCCTTCGTATATATCTAATCGGAAAGATAAAACATTAAGACATAAATCCACATCATACTAAGTAGATAAACAAGTATTTCATTTTCTCGATAACTCCTGTCTCATTATCTGCATCGAGATTGTTACTGAACCTCAACTACTTTCGTTATTTCTGTTGAGGATTGTTATAAATTTGGTTATGTTGTCGGTGTATATACTCGTTGACGACGGCATGTGGTATTCAAAATACTGTTTGGAATAAGCGACTATTTTTATAAAAGCAATTGTCTTATTTGAAATTTATTCGAGCGAGTCTAATAAATAAATCCAAGAGTTTGGAGCGTAAACACTAGAGTTAATTAAGCTAATTTAATTCTCAGCCTACTTATTAGGTATATTCTACGCATTAGAAATCCAAATATACAGCGATTCACTTATTCTGTCGTATCATTGAAAGTCAGTCACCGTTTATTTAGTTTTAGTCAACTTCATTAGTGATATCCGGAGTTTCCAAGACTTTTATTTAATGACATGGTTTATGCAGTACTTTCTATTGCATACAAAACAGAAATCAGTGAAGTAGCTTCGCCTAGAAATTTTTTAAATTTGTACCCAAGGTCACTGTTTTCCAGCAGGTCAACTCATAAATTCCAACCGATATTGTGTGAGGTATTTATTTAAAGTGGTGAGGGCATCTGTGAAAGCAAAGCAGGCTAGTTTAGATATAAGAATAAAACTTGTGGTAGAGTATAATTCCATTATGGGTAAATTTTTGTTTTGATAAAGTCTCACAGTGTTATACAGTAATGTTTACTGATGACGTTTCGAGCACAATTTATTGCTCATAATCATATCAAGCTTGATATGATGAATACAGTAGCAATTTATTTGATACATTATTTACCCATCATTATCGCACATGGTAAGTGGTTTTCAGCTGTTTCCTAGAACTAGTATACAAGGTTGTTCTTCTTCGATGTGAAATTGGTTTACTATTAAATGGATCATATGGTTGTCGTTATTTTGTCTTTAGTTCTACCCTAGCGGAGAACTTCAGTAAGTATTCTAACTGCAGACAAATGTCATTTCCTAATTTGATATACTGCTTCCTGTCTCTGAATTGTTGAGTCTTTATGTAAACCATTTCATACACCGAAATATCTTCAGCACGATGATGACTTATCTAGTTTGTCAGATTGACGTTGGCACATTAAACTCTAGTCAGCGATACGCAAGCCCTATAATCACTTTATTTCCAAATAGACAAGCTGATATATTTGTATGATTTTGTCAGGTATTGGGATGGAAATAGTTCTATGGAAACGGAAAGGAAGTTTGTCTCAAACACCAGTCCCACCCAAATAAAAGCATCCTGCCATTAAGTGACTATAGGCTTCCACGAGGTAACCCGCTAAGGATAGCACACCAGAGACCAAAGACTCGAGTGCGATCACATTTCTTTTCGCTTCGTGTTTGCCGTCTCTGGAACGCGTTACCGGCGGCCGTGACTACAGCGCCTTCTCTGGAGATTTTTAAGCGGAAGCTAGACAATCATGCAGAAATGCAAGGTTTGTGTCTCAATGGCTTATCCCCATAAAACTTGAAACCACACTGTCAATGGATAAGCGTACAAACTAAATCCCCACAACCTATTCTGCCTTCTCTCACTCTATCTTTTCCTTAGGTCACCTTTATTATTCCACTTATCTCAACCTATATTATCTACACTACAACCCATTATTTGTATTCTTATTATTATTACTACTATTCTGCTTTTATGACTACACCGAATGACCAACGGGAGTTAGGTCAAACTCCATTCACGGCAGCAATACAGTCCTAACATACTGCATACTACAAACCACATCTCGACCAATCCCCGCACCGCTCCTCCTGGAGTCTACCAGATCTAAAGCAGTCGAGTGGCGGGACTTACTACGCAGAAGCTCACCGAAGATCTGGGACCTCTACCTCACAATCAAGAATCGAGCTCAAAGAAATCATTGGTTTATACTAGCTCGTAATCAGGATATTGGAAACATTATTGATTGATGTCGATAATTACTGCATAGGACAATTAGTGACTGCATTAAAAATCATGCTGAAGTGAAGAGTGCTTTGTTGCCCAGTGGAAACCAAAAAAGTCAAACTGCACCGTACATTCATGCGAAAAGATGTAATTCTCTGTTATTTTAAAACATACGTTTGTAGATGTGTGTGTAAACTATTAGTTCAGTTATCGTGCTTGTAGTTATGTTCCTGAGAAACATTTATTTGTTGACTTATTTAATAGGTTAACTATATTTTCAAATAAAAAGAACTTGTCATCTAGCTAATGAAGATTGTTTGTTGCAAACTACACTTCGAGCCTTCATCGCTTCCTATTCTCCATACATCGACTCTATGGATGAATTGCTTACAAGAAAAATACCAAGGCTTGAAGAGGACCAGACACTTGTAATAATTATTCTAAGTTTTGAGTTACTGCTAAATGGGTTATCGTAAATTTGATTGACAGATTTTGGGGAAAATTTCCTGGTTTTCAACTCCTAGTCATATATCTCAAAGAACTTATGGTGTTCACTGTTTATCAACTTCCAGTTCCCAAATACCGTTAAATTATAACCTTTTTAACATGCTTTTTCGCCCTAGTATTCTACTGCTTCTCTTCTCATATTTTCTTATTTTCTGCCGTATGATAACTCAAACTCATACACTTTCGTGCAGTGTTATACATTGGCTTCTGTCCGTCTGTTTTCGACATAGAACTTTGCACCGACATTAGGTCGTGGCGATGTGCAAGCCTGACCACCACGTCAAGGTAGCAGCTATCGGTCGGGATACATTGGCTTAATAGCCAGACAGTGTATTTTACGATTAAGATAACTTTTCTTATAGACATTTCTTTGTGGAATATAGTCACTAAACAGATATGATTGTGTTTGCGCAACTAGGGGAAGGAAATGCCTAAAGATTATGCAGTTGGTCCCTCTTAAACCTGTGTCAGCTTACGATGTGCTAAGGAGCGATATGGTTAATTCAAACAATGTATCTGTCTGCCTGTTTTCGACATAGAACTTTGCACCGATGTGCAGCAGTTCGAGTCGCCACACTCCATGTAGCACACAAAGCAAGAGAAGAGAGTAGAAGAAATGCATTCTAGAGACAGTAAACAGAAGTGTGAGACAAAGGAATCGTAAAAACGAAGAACAAAACAGTTTCATTGGAAATCATGAGTCACAAGGAGTGGATGCATCTGCGCCAGCCATTGACAACGATGACTTTAAGCCATATCACCAGTTGTTTCCAGCCATTGGTTTTTACCGTCCCGAGGACCCCAACCAGGAAGTCTACACCTTCCTACGTGACTTAAACAATGTATCGGCGATATGTATTGGTTCTATTGCTATTCACTGTCATCTGTATTATTCTGGGAGTAACCTTTTACTCTAGGTATCACAATGCCTTTCACTGGAGATCTTTTTGTGGTACAAATACGACGTTGGTATAGTTTAAAACGTCTTTCAGTCAGTGAACCGCTGACTGCAACTCAGTACCGCCTATTTCGACTAGCACAAGAGACTAATATCTTAAGTCTTCATACATAAAACTGAGTAGTAATTAATTGATTAAATGCAACTTCACCTACCCGAATAACCTCATCAATCCTCATGCATATCTGTTCAATAAAAATGCACACGGTTGTATTTTCTTATGTATTTGTGTATTATTTGACATCCAAATCCGTAACACTAGCTAAAAGTGTTGTTCGCTTTTCCTTGTACGGTATTCAGAAGTCAGTAAAAGTAAAAGTCCCCATTGTTATCTTTATCGAGTCATTTAAAGACTGGAATGACTTCCAGCATTGATAGTAAGCTTTAACTTTTACGCTTGGTTTTCATATCATTACTTTTTTCTTTCATAATATAATAGTTCAGTCACAGTCATGGAAAATGCCAAAGCTGTCCTAATGAAAAAGGATGCTATTCTTGAGCATCCATCTGTGCTAGCCGAAGCCATTGATTGGTAGTTGTCAAGTTATGTGAACATTGATGGATTTTAGTGTCCGATATAATGACACGCGGACTGGACAAAACGAGGCAGAGGAATTATTGGTGGAAAGCTATCAAGGAGCGATTGAGTTTTTGTTCGAATTGGGGACTTGGCTCACCTATATAGGTAGGATCACATATAAGCCTTACCACTTGTTGATTTAGATGAAGATGCTCAGTCTACTCGCAATATTATTGAATCAGTTGTCAAGGAAGCTATACTCCAAAATTATGATCGTTCAAAGGCTATAACATGTTTAACAGATGAAGCCTCAGCTGTTAGTTCACTTTCTGATAAATTTATGTTTTGGTGATCAGGACACTATGGAGTGGCTCAGTCAGATGGTTGAATCTCCGACTTGGCGCCGAACCATATATGACTTAGCTCAGCACCCACGGAATGAAGACTGTCCATTTTTATCGCTATCTATGCCGTGTATTGCTGTAAAAGAAAGTCTGATAGGCGAACTGATATCTGTTCCCCTTGCATGGAATACTCTCGGGATATTTCTAAAATGCGTTATATACGTTTTACAACCATTGCTAGCTGCCGGTGATACAGTTAAAGATCAAACCTTTATGTATTCTGTGGCGTTTTTACAACCGAAACGATGTAATGGTTCCATCAATTATTCTGTTTCACATTCGGAAATGGATTCAATGAATTCAGACTCCCTCCCGCCTATTGATGAAATCAAAGGTTTCGTTTCTTCTGTTGACGACAAACGACAGTCATATAGCTCTTCAGAGGGAGAGATTCATTTTCCAAGTGATACTGCACTAGATATGTTGCCTCACTTTTTGGTATGTTAAAACGCATTTTTCCTTCATTTGTTTTTTGCTTTACCGATTTCTGACGTACTTAATGACAAACTTGTTCTAACATTTGCTGGTTTTGGTTGGGCAGTGATCTCTGAGTTAACCAGACAATTAGATATGTAACTAGGGCACTTCCATCGAGGAATTTCTTTCTCTATTTGCAGACATTTCTTGTTACGGGAAACTACGAGACTTTTATCCGTGTGTTCTTGAAATTTTTTGTTAATATATCACAATTCTTTCTCTATAGGGTTGTGTTGACGTCATTTCACTTATTGTAGTATATTGCTTTAAGGTATCATAAAATGGCCATAGATTGTAGACTTTTATGTTTCCGCACTTATTCAGCTTGTCCTATAGATTAGCATTAGATGATTAAATTTTCCACTCTTAGTCTGTACCGAAATTGTTAGTCTTCAAAAAGCTTCAACAGATTTTTTTACTGTGATATTTGTCATCAATAAAGAGAATCAAAATGATGGTTCCAATCAACCTGTTCTTACTTTGTACGCTTTGATAAGCTTCATCACTATGTTGAAACTATGAAACACCAGTTTCGCACTGCTTTATGTCAAGATGTTAATAGGATCGTAAAGTACCTGATCTACTAAATATCTGAACAGATGAAATAAGCACTGAAAGTTTGAGCGATATGATATTTGGTAAAGTAGGATTATTCAGAACAAAATATTCAAAACGTACAATAGCCAGTAAAGTCAAATTAGAATCATATCACAAAGCGTATTGTGGAACAAGGATAAGATGCGATGGAACTATAGTCAAATAGTTTTTTAATATGCATGGCCAATGAGAACATGGGACAAAATGAGATGAAGTAATTTAATTTAATGTGTGTTTGTATGTATAAATATAGTCAACGGAAAATACAGGTTTCGAGAGTGATTGTAATCAGGGTGTGTGAGACAATATGGAAATAAACCAACGAATGGGGCGGTCTAAACATAAGTTCAAGGTTGAAAATAACAACAATAAGAATGATTGTAAAATAATAACGATGATATGGTGTAAAATTACAAGCACTATTGGTGAATGATTGTCAAATAATAATAATGAATATAATGAAGTGGAATGAACAGGATTTTGTAAATACACTAGCAAGTTAGAAAAGCACTACTTAAACCTAAGGTAATAAAATCATAAGAAGAGTCATGAAATCATAAAAGTCGAGAATGAACGTTTGTCAATGAAACAGAGGAATAGAAGAAGAAGAAAAGAAAAGAAAATTGTGAAAGGAATTCATAGTGTTAATGGAGCATTTGTTGGCTTTATTGTAGGCCAAGGTAAACATAGAGGTTGAACAAACTTCTGTATGCACAGAGATGATCTTCTGGTATTAATTGCAACCGCTTCAGCTACTGATAGAAGACGTAGTCGAGCTCCTCTAGAAAAATTACTAGGAACGTGGTGAATAACTGAGAACTCCTGGTCAAATTTTATCGGGTGTCCAGTATCTACCAAGTGGGCTAAGACTGCACTATTTACGCATTTGGTTACTCCCTTACTCAACCATACAGGTACATGTTCACGCGCGCGCATGGATAAAGCCCTCTGAGTACGGCCAATGTAACTAGCACCACATGAGCAGTTGAATTCGTAGATGCATATTGATGAGGCCATCTTTGGTAACTTTTCCTTGACTTGGTGTTTGAGTACCAGTTTAGCTGCAGGAAATGTTCTATCTACTGCTCTATTAAGTCGACATTTTAGAATGTCAGCTGCAATTTCCCCTTTGTAACTTAAGATACAAAGGTTTCTTGTCTACGGTATCCACCTTTACCCTCTCTGTAGGTATTTACATATACTTTTTAGGAAGCTCTGTGGATATCCACTTTCTTGCAGTGTAAGTTTCAGTTTATGCATTTCTTCCTTAATGCATTCCTCTGAGCATATTCGTTTTATTCTGTAGCTAAGACACTTAACTAAGTTTCTTTTGTACTGAATCGGTGTGAAGCTATGGAAATGGGTGTACTGACCCGTCCAAGTTTTCTTTCTAAATAATTTCCTTTGTAGATATCCGTCTGTCTTCATGGTAAGGAGGACGTCTAGGAAAGGTAAACTGTTATTGTCTTCTTCTTCACATGTAAACTGAATAGTTGGGTGAACACTAATGACAGCATTCAGAAGCTCTTGTTTATTAAGATTTCTATCACAAACGATAAACGTATCATCTACGTATCGACAATAATAGTCAAGCCCTTTAATCGTGTCTTTGAGTGGACCATTTTCAAGCTTTGCCAGGAAAATATCCGCTAGCATAGGGCCCAGAGGTGATCCCATGGCTACACCATCAACTTGTCTATAAAAACCATTATCGAACATAAACTGAACATTCATAGTGCATTTCAATAATAATTCTTTGAATTTTTCGGAGGGGATTCCTACATATGTAGTTGACTGTTTCAAGCATTGGAACGTTGGTGAATAATGTTGCTACATCCAGTGACATTGTTTTCTTTCCCTTTATATTCAGGCTTTTGGTAGTTTCCACAAAGCTGAATACGTCTTTTACACTGAATTTCACTAATTCGCGATGTAACGGTTCTAATGCCTTTACCAACCACTTTGCTGTAGAGTGATAAGGGGATTGACACATATATAAGATGGGATGTAGTGGTACTCCCGGCTTATGGACTTCCGCTAAACCATAAAGTCTTGGTGTGTGCGTACCTGAGGGTTTCAATTCGTATAGTGTATCCTTAGGAATCAGATTACTCCCAACTAGTAATTTTAGTGTCTTAGGCATTTGGTGTTCGGTTGCCTCAGTTGTGTCTTTACAGCTGCTCAGCTTTTGAAATTTCGTATGGTCGCTTAGAATGATATTCATTTTGTCTGAATAATCACTCTTGTTCATGATAACTGTACCAGATCCTTTATCAGGTCTAGCTATTATAAGATTTTCGTTCTTTTTGAGGTCACGTAATGCCTCTCTGTGTTTCTTTGTAAGTAGACTGTTGGCGGGATGTTTGCTGTTATTAAACTGGTAGCAAGAATCGATTAGGGTACTTTTAAATCTTTCTAGCTCATACTTGGACGAAGGAGTTAGGTCGCTTGTCTGGGCAAATAGGTTTTCAAATTGAACAACAGTCTCTAAATGATCAATCTGATTACGTCTGTCACAGAATTTTAAACCGAGAGATAAGGCTTCAAGTTGTGTCTTATCTAAGCATACAGAAGAAAAATTGAAAACGTACCGGTTATAGTCAACTGGAAAATTAGTTTCAGTCGTTTCTGTGTCTAGTCCTTTGGTTAATAATATCAATTTTTTGCTTTCTCGAGTTTTTAAAACTTCATTAACATAGTCAATAAATAAATCTTTCAGGTTCTGAGGAAGTTCATCGATGGCGTAAAGTCTTCGAACTACATAGAAATATTTAGAAATTCTAAATGTCTAAATGGGGATTTTTTATATATAAAAATATTTCACAAAGTTTTTGTCTCACACGAAGATTGTAAACCATGTACTGTTTTTTTTGACGGTAAGGCTTTCAGATAAGCTAAAAAGAATTTCTATAACTTGTTCTATCTTAATCAGACTTTTATTCTACTTTTAGGAAATGGGTTGTCATAGTGAACATGGATACTTGCTTCTCCAGTCTATCCTTCAGTGTTTAGCACGTCGGATGAAGGGTCATTGTGCTCACCATCTTATTTGGCTGCTGGAAGCTGAAGCTTGTCGAAGGTTGTAATACGTCTCATAATACTTTTGAACCTACATTTTAGTTTTATGTGCACTTTTCTGTTATTTAAGTAGGGAGGGAATTAAGCGTCAGTGACAGGTTTTCTTGTAAATTATATATAATATATATTCTTTAAATAGCATCTAAGGGTCGGATTTGTCCTGCAACACTAATATACAACTTCAAGTGTATTTCATTATATTCAGCTCTTTTGAGCTTATCTAATCGTCTCATTCGACGAATCAGTTTCAGTATTTTCGTATGATCACACACTTCCTTTGTTAGGTAGCTTCTGTTCACTGGATCCACACAGAGCGGAAGTTTCCACAAAAGTAAAAGGGCATAAAGAAATGTTCGGCGCTTACCACCGAATTCACGGTCAACCTGGGTGGCTGGAAACCATAATTCCAAACCACTGATGCACACGGGCTTCAGGATCTCGTGTAAGCAAATTGTGTAGGAACTTGTTACGGGTAACAACAGTCAAAGAAATGCAGCTTATTTTTAGAGACTCGAATACCCACTGAAGTGCTGTGAATAACTTCTAAATTTACCAGTTCAGAAATTGTTGTCAGTATGCACGTACTCATAGTCTCTGTAATATTGGTATCCGATCTAATGTCTGTGCTACAGTATATCCGAGAAGCGAAGCTGCTGTTCAACTAGATACCCATCAATCTTCTATGTCCTATTAAGTTAGACGGTTCAGTTAAACTCTAAGGACTCTAACGAGAGAAACGTTATCTTTCCGTCATATGTACCTATGAACTGACAGATTACAACTCTGATGCAACTTAGGGTAAGTTTAATGGCCAGTTGGAAGGGTACATCACAGATATTGTAGTGCATAGGTTGAACTTTAGAGTTCAAGAAAGAGTTGTTTAAGTGGTAAGTAGGAAGGTTAGCTGTTCGGTGGCAGTTTTCTGCAACTGTGTGTAGAGTTCAGCAACGACTTCTAACACACCTATCCCCGTTGTGCAACGTGGATTCCTGCCTATACCATTAAGGTGTGAATTCGAATACATCAAACCGACTGTCGACAGGACGGTGAGTTGTCTCCTGAATTTTCTGTGGACTCACACTTCAGTTTATCCTAGGTTAGTCATACGTTTTGAAGGTCATCGTACTCGTCGCGCTCAACAGTCCAAAGTAAGTAAGTCAGTTATGTATACCTTTACAGTTTATAGTACCGAAGTTGAATCAAAGGCTGAGCACTGACCCTTTGGAAATTATTTATTAACATTGGTAACTCACCCTGAGACATCGTCAGGGTTTTCTACTGTGAAACATGATTCTCAGCCGTCAAATGTTGAGTCGCTTGACCGAATAGTAGAGTTTGAAAATACCTTAGTGTCTAAACATTTCTCAACTCTCGGTTCGTGGATTTAGAAGTGATCGATGAAATGCATTGTATGCTTCAGGGTTTTATTCTTCTGTATTATATGCACCATACATCCTCAGAGGTATATCTTTTAAGAAACTGATTTTAAGTTACCTATCTGATAGATACATTATGGTCAGGTTTAGTCAAATTTCGCTCATTTTTTATTCGTTATTGTGACATAAGTATTATTATTTGTGCCATGACTGTAGGTACATCCGACGGATAAATCGGGGTTTCTACATAAGGATTTTATTGTAATTATTCTTGCGATTATACTTAATAACTCATTTATCCACAAGAGACGAATATAATTTTTTCCATTAGGGGCCGTGACGTTAGCCGTTACACAACATATCTTTGCGGTTCACGAGACTATCCTGAGAGTATGGATTCAATGCAAACAATTCTTAAGGAACAAGATTTAATCCCAGAAGCAGTTTCACAAGTTAGTTGAAATCACTTCTAACTCTTTTGTCTGTCTGATGGGAGTTGCTGATTGTTCCAAATGGAAACATGTTAGATACGGTTGATCATTACGTCAAGATGTGGTCCTGTGTGATGTTCTAAGTTGTTCTTCCTTATCTGTTCAAGATTCGGGTCACTTTGTTTTTATATAAAATATCTTTATGTATGATAGGTCTGTAAAAATCTAGTATAATAGGGGGAATTTGATTTTGGACACAGTCATATGTATCAAAGACCGATTATCATTGCGTTGCTTGTTACTGGATCCTCTTTTCCTCCATCCGGCAGCAAGCTTCCGCGATATTAATAGCTGAAGTAAGAACTTAGTTATCCAAAACATATTTATCCACACTTTGTGTAGTGGCTCATTTTAGCGCCTAATCACCCATTCTGAATTAGGTGGGGTGGGAGCGGTCCAATGTTCAAGGCAATGAGATATATCTTCACTGTTCTAAATCAGCGATAGGTTTAGATTTCGTTGTCTAACCTAGATAATCTTCTCCATCTATATCACCAACGATATTCTAGAAGTAGATCTAAAAATGTGCATGGTCGTGATCTAGACCTGCTGTCTGAAGAATGACTGTTCGACCTTGAGTATACAGGTGATATCGCTTACTCTTTGATAAAACTTCAGCTACTCATTATGTATTTAATCACTTTGGATGTTTGCAAGGTTCAGTGTGGTGTTTTAGCAGAACAGAAAGGAGATCTACCGTGCGAGTAAGTGATACGTGTGTATGTGTGTTAGTGGGGCTGCTATGAATAAAATTTCTGGTTATGTATCCAGCACCAAAGGGACATGTACAAATATAGACTACTTGTAATACCATTGTGTGTCGGTGGCACAGTGGTTAGGAATCTCGCCGACCATGCACATGGTCTGAGGTTCGATCCCTGCCGATGCACACCTGATACCTATGGTTGGCCTGCAAAATTTGGGCTACCGATATCGCATGCTGAAAATTCCGTACTTGTATCAAAAATACAGCGTGGAATCAAGCTGTAATCAAAAAAATAAATAAAAATAAAAAGTAATACAGCTTACCTGTCAAACGCTAATTGCATACACTCATATCTGTGAAACCTGGTAGCAGCAAACACCGTTTTTCAGGGTGTGTTTTCATCTGTTGCTGATATCATCTAAGTACTTTTCAAGTTCAGTGCATAGTTTGTAGATTCATGCAACATCGGATTTCACCATATAAAGAAGCTTCTGGACGCCAGGCTTGTTTACTTGTACCTGTGTTACAAGTGTTGTGTTAGCCACTTTTATGTTGCGAATTGATCATCAACTCTTGAATGCATACTGTGATGTTTAAGATGTTTGTTATTGGTTAGCATTTGTTTATGCATCACACTTTTCTCAACGGGGATCCAAGAGATTTTTTGACTTAGTCAGTTGAGTCGTTATCATTCTGCAGATTATGTGTTCTTCCGCTGTCGAAATGAATTCAAACGCTAGCTCTATTAGAATACTTGTTTACAATCACGTTATATTCTATGTTTCGTTTTCCTCATTCTTCAATAAGTTCAAATTTTAATTAGTACATAGTGACAGCTGAACCAGGACTTTGAAGGTTTCATGGTGAATTTGCAGATCTATGAGTGTGTTTTATTTTTCCTTGTAAGCTCACAAGTACCAATGCTCTTTGAAATGTTTATCTCCTGACAATCCGTAACATCGTGTGTTTTCTACGATAATTTAAAGTCCATTTTTTGAGAAGTCTTTTCGGTTGTGAACATGGTATAGATTACGTAAGATTTAATAGTGTGAAACATTTTCATATCGTGAATTAAAAGTCAATCTGAATGAAGAACATTATTTCAAACAGTGTGGCGATGAATCCGCCAAAATTAATCACCATCATCATCGTCTCTCATTTAAAAATATTCTGTAATTGCATTCAGCTCAGCACATTTGTCACACGTACACTATTTATTTTATCACCCTGTAAATAATCTGTTACTCTATGCAAAAATATATCTGCCGCGTAATTAACTGGCCATTATTATAATGAAAATTATATTTTGTAATTATAAGAACCTGACGAAAAGTTACTAGAAAAAAATTCGTTCAGATTAACTTTGAATAGATGGCGTAGTTTCGTGCATTACAAAAAGACTAAGAATTCATTTTGCCTTATTATGAGTTATATTTATTTAGGCTATTTTTATATCACTAATTTGAAATCTCTACTTGCATAATTTTTATACTTCATAGCTTGAAAAAGCATACAAAGGAGACGCACCTCCGCCTGTTGCACTTTTACGTCAACCCATTTTCATTGGTAAGTTAACTCGGAATTAGTATCAAGAGCGGTTACTTCAGTACGTAGTAGTGTGTCGATGGTTTAGTGGTCTAATACTTGTCAGCCACTCATGTGATCCGGGGTTCGGTCGCTGGTTGAATGACTGCTAGACCTCGCGTAAGTTGCTGAAGAGGGGAGATTGGTCGTGGAGCTAGCGACCCCACCGCTCAAAAAATAAATTCCACTTCTGCTGAAATTTTAAAGCTTAGGCTTGAAGCCCTAATCCCTGTTGAAAAGCGAAGGAATAAAACAATAATAATAAAGTAAATACATTATTAAAAATTGGCGTTCCCATGATTATTAGGCGTGAGAAATCCACCGACTCATCAGATGCAGCGTTTACAGGTTAATTGACGTTATTGATAACGATAAAGGAAGCAGAGTTATACCTTTGCATAAGTTATTTATTAGTGGACAAATACCACAGGTATATAATCTAACCTAGTCTAATTATAGCTTTGCCTGTCTAAGGCAATAAAACAAAACACATTTATCAGTTCTATTTTTTTTCCTTCACGTTCCCAGTGGAACATAGGGCTTCAAGCTAGTGGCTTGAAGTTTCTGTAGCAGTGTTTATTCTTTCACATGCCCAACCTTTCCTCTTTATCAGGATTATTTCTGGCTTAGCGAGACAAAGGAGTGCGTCGGCCGGGAATCGAACCCCGGACCATGTGCATGGTCGGTGGGCGTCCTAACCGCTGCACCACCGACGCGATCTGTTCTATGAAAGATTATAATGCAAAGGCATTGTATCATGAAGTGAGAAGAGCACATAAATTAAGCGTGTCTTCTACTAGTATACATGTATGTATAGTTACAAAATTTGACGGAACGCTAGCCGATCTTATGAAATTGTTTTTATTGGTTTCTGTAATACACTCGTAGATAACTCTTCCAATATTGGGATTGGTGAACAACCTTAAAGTTATTGACGAAAGGTATTCCCTGTATTTTATGAATCCCGATGCATATGTATCATCATTTTTTGTCTCACACTAGACATTACCCACGCATGTTGCAACTGTATGCTAGTATGCAACTAGTGTCGGTTAGTTATAATAAATTCATACAATATAGAAAGTAAAAAATAATAATTTTATGCGCCATTTAGGTGTGTGTGTTCAGTAGTAAGTGGTTAGTACAAAATAGTAAAACTGAAATGAATGGTTCGCCATAAAACAACAATCAGTATGTGAAATAAATGAGATGTCATCCATATAAAAAGAAGTATACTGTTCACAGTAAATCATAACAGGATGTCAGAGTCATAAAAAATTTTATAGAATAAATGAATAAGAAAACTGGAGGCATTAAGATTGTTTAGGGAGAAAGGTGGGGAGGGGAACTTATTTAGGGTTAAGGACGGTCGCCTGAAGGCGTTGCTTATAAATACACATCTGTAGCTACATGAGAAAGTAGACGTAGTGCAGTTGATAATATATTAATTATGTGATATGTCACAATGACAATATTGACATTATCATAGTGATGTTTCACTCTCTAACTGTAAAGCGCTGTTTAGCATTCATAGGAAAGAATATTGTTCTGTCAAAGTGCCTTATTCCTTTTAAATAAGAAAACATCCAAGTCTCAACATGCATTCTATGTGACAAACGGCCTGCTGTCTTCTTCACTGGTGTACCGCTACCGTTACAAGTGATAAAATCGACATTTTAGGGAGTATTGAGTGTGTTGTGCAGTAGCGAGCTCTTTCGTCCTATATTTGTCTGTGAAGCGTGACTATTAGAGATGGCTCTGCAAAGGCTGTGAATTGTTAACGACTATTCCTTACCTTGGTTTGATGGAGTCAGCATATGGTCAGTGTGGAAATTATAAAAACAATTCCCGAAGTAACTGTTTACATTTGAGTGACAAAAATCCCTGTGAAATTAGATGCGAAACTACAGGCCTGTAAATGTGTATCTAATGTAAAGTTAAGTGAAAATGGATGAAGTAGACATACCTGGCCATCACTAAGTGTATGTAGTCACTTCACAATACAGCCCAACTTAATTTCTTATGACAGCAGAAATATTCATGTATAAAGCAAACGATAGGTATTGCTTAGTATAGATTCCATTACAAAGTAAAGCATGGATATTCTACCTATAAACGGAGAGAATACTGCGTAGATAATTTATTTCTATCGTCATTTAGCAATACTGTGTATACTTAGATCTCAAGTAATGCTTTATTCTCATGTACTTCATAAATTCCCAGTTTATTAAACAACTGGCTTATTAAACTTAACACCTGACTTACGACCGATGAATCTAGTCACATACACTTCATATTGATCGAGGGGGTATTATCGTAAGTCATCACAGAAAATGCTAGTCATAGCCTGGAAAGCTAAAAGCATTCTCTAGCTGAGTGACTTGTTTTGTGGTACATTTCCGAAGACAAACACTATGTTTGTTGTTGTTGGTTACCTTGGCTACCTGGAACATATTTTACAACACCAGGCTATAAGCCACACTTATTATGTGAGTGCTGGTGTTACTGCCCAGTTGTTCAGACTGAAATATGTGGGGAAGGATTTGGACTCGATATCCATCATCTGAAAATCGAGTCCTTAAGCCGATGAGCCACGTACAAATACTATACCAAGTCTACGTTTGAATTATTTCTAATAACTGTACACAGTGTACGCTATGCTTCAGTTAATTGTTAACTTTACTTATTTCGTGTGTATTTAATTTTGTAAACATGTTCGCGTTAACCTAAGTTATTGGAAGCACGAATTTATTTGTTGGCCTATTAATAATAATAAATAAATTCCTTTACTTCCCCAGTGGAACATAGGACTTCAAGATTGAGCGTAGGAGTTTCGGTATCAGTGGTTTCGTTTTTACGGAGTTGGGTTTCTAGTCTCACTTCCAACCTTCCTTCTTTATCTGTTTATTGAAGTTAAGGAGTGCGTCGGCCGGGGATCGAACCACATGCGTGGTTGGCTAGCGTTCCATCGCTGGACCACCAAAGCTTAATAGCTGGGAGGTTTTAGAAGTCCCACATGTAAAAGACATGAATTTTAAACCTTCTAAACAGCTAAGTTAACTCTACATGTGTTCACTTGATTGAACAGTATACCACCTTAGTGCGAAGGTTAAAGTATTTAGTGAAGCATATATCATCGACAAACTCCTAGATAATAGCGTAAACTGTGCATAGACTATATTGCTAGCTGCTTGTTATTTCAAAGTTTCAGGCTCTTTTTGAATACTTTGAAACTTTTATGTACACTGTTTTGTTTGATTCTAACAAAATCCTACTAATTGAATTCAGGTAATACTGTATTACGCCATTTACTCATTTCTTACTGTTTAGGCGAAATATTAGCTATAGATATATTCTAAGATACACTTGTATAAACCGTGTTAAGAAAGTGGTTTGTGACTCATTCAGTGCAGTTTTTAGTTGGTAATATACCACACACACACACACGTGCCAGTCAGTTTGTTTGTTTTCCTCCTAACTTGAAGATCTAATAATAAACAATGTTAAAACACATCTGGTCATTCGTAATCCATTTTTGTTTATTGTTCACTTTTATATTTGTTAGCACTTCTAGCTGATGCACTGTTTGCAAGTGCAGATCGACTATTAAATGAACAATTAGAACAATACGCCTACCTGTACAGCTATGCTGCAATGGTTGTTGAAGAAATTGATCCAACTACTGATCGTCGTATCTCATGCATTCGTACTGAAGTTGATCAAGCGAAACACGAGGTTTTAGAAGCTAGTCGTATCTGTCGACAGGTATGAATCAGCAATAATTATTTTCGTATTCCGAATTTTTTGATAGTTCTCGACTGGCCCAGGGATAAAGTTGTAGGAGTTAAGACGGTACAGATTTCCAGAGCTCTTCAATATTATCTGAGTTCGGTCCGTGAAGAAACCTTTTGAGAGCGGTTGATCCCTCAACTGTCGAGTAAAACAGAATCACATAGGGGGCAGTGCTGGCGTGTGCTACCGACAAAATTTATAATTAAGTACATGGACACACATATATATGTATATCATCTACAAGATTATTGAATAATAGAGGGGTGGGTTAAATAGCAAAAAAAAGAAATGAACCATTCTTGTGAGACAATATAAGAAACATGTGAAAGGAAGTCAAACACAATACAGAAGACATGTTCAAATTGTGATTTTATTCTATGATGGCTGTCTTTTGCCTATATCTGTACAATGAGTTGCCAATAGAAATATTTCGTTGCTAATTACTCTTGTATTCTCCTGTTACAGTAGTAGACTGAAATAGAATAAATTCACTAGTACTTATCGCGTTTTCGATTCTTTATGATTAACAGTGTTATGATAATAAACCGTTATCTGATGCGTGTTAATATTGAGTATGTAAATTGGCATCAGAAAGATTTACCAACACGAAACTATGAGAACAAACTAACCAAGAACCTATCGTCCAACAAACATGTGAGAAAAATGGAGCAGAATAGGGCACACTCGGGAGACTGCTGAATGACATCGTGCGCCAGGCTATTCCTCGAGTGGGACCTGAATGGGAAACGACGATTAGGTCGTCTGAGGGTGACGAGGAGATGAGAGACTATGAGCAATCTTGGGCCCAGCTTAAGAGGACAGCAGAAAATAGAACAAAGTGAAGATGTGTTGTCGAAGCCCTGTCTTCCACTCGGAACCCGAAGAAATAAGAAAAATAATAATAAATCGGCATCGTATAGACTTAAATACCCATTTGCTACCATCTGATCATCAGCGGTATGCCCAATTTTGAATAATACAGATTACAGTTAGTTACCGGTATTAAATCTTATTCGCTTAGCTTGACTTCTCTATTAACAACACGTACAGTATTGTTTGTGCTTTTATCCTATTTGTCTTGTTTGACAATTATTGCTTTAATCCATCAGTGCGGTAGGGCAACTGGTACTTAGCTACACTTATGTGTTGATTTCTGTAGACTGTCCTTAACATCAAATACTGTATTAAGGAAGGATGAACGAACGTTTAAACACCTTATCGAAACGTTTTTCACGACGAAAATATCAACCATTTTGCAGGACCAGATATACTATGGCAAAGTGTCTGATGTAGGATCATGTCACTCTATATAAAACCGATGAATAGAGAAGTGTGTGAGGACAAATACTCGCCGAAGACATTGGCTAGCGGTCGCGCTATGTCGTGAATTGGCAGAAGTTAGAATTCAAGGACCATTGGATCGGGTCCCAGTGGTTTAATGGTATACGAGCTCGCCTTGTAACCAGAAGGTCCTGGGTTCGAATCCCGATGGGTGCGTACTGCCGAAGAGTCCCAAACTAGGACGAAACAGCTGTCCACTACTCCCAGGTTTTCCAATGGTTCTCTAACTAATGTCAGCTCATGATGAAATCCTGAAAATAAAGAAGTTTGTTAAAATCACAGAAATAATTTTTGCTTTATGCCAAATGACTAGTATTACACTTTTAAAATTTTTGCTAATACACTAAATGTTTTTTTGCACTTTTTGTGGATTTTTTTAGTGGAATAATATGTCTGGAAGTGGAATTAGTTTACGTGCATTTCGAGATCTTCCAACTCTTTTGAAAACTCTATCATGTCGACCTGTTTCATTTGGTGTATTTCGCTTTGTTCGAGTAGTTTTTCACACAAAGCGTGTTGACTTTGAGTTAAACTTGGACACTATGAAACCTTACTGTATAGTGGTGAATGAACTGGCTGAGGTGAATGTATATTTACGTCCTGCTCTTCTAGCGTTTATTACAGAATTACTAGCTTCTTCGGTTGAAGGAATGGAAGATTTAAGTCAGGTAATTTCAGACGTTTTAATATTGGTGTATGGATTGTAAACGATATAAAGTTGGTTACATTTGAAATTTTAGCAGTTTTATTATATTTGCATTAGATTAATCAGAAAGTGGTGTGGTTAGCACAATTATCTCTTTTTCAACTACTGGTCTGAGCCATCTATCAGTCAGACGTCCAATGCGCCTGATGAATGTTAATGATAATGGTGTACCAATCGAACCATTCTAAAACAATCATTGCACCGATATGTTAGATATAACAGCTTTAGCGTTTATAAAATATTACAGTATCAATTCTGTCTGTCTGTCTGCTTTCGACATAGAACTTTGCACAAATGTGCGGAAGTTCAAGTCGCCACACTCCGTGTAGCGCGCGAAGCAAGAGAAGAAAGTACAAGAAAAGCATAATAGAAACAGTGAGCAGAGGTGTGAGACAAAGGAGTAATAAAGAAATACAAAACAGTTTCATTGAAGATCATAAGTCACAAGGAGTGGATGCATCTGCGCCACTGAGAACGATTTTGAGCCATGTCACCAATTGTTTCCAACCATAGATTTTTACCGTCCCGAGGACCCCAGCCTGGAAGTCTACACCTTCCTACGTGGCTTAGACCGACTGTTGTGGATTTCATTGACTGGTGCCAAGTTTCTGTTTGACCGCCGCTAGCTTTTTTCCAGCCTGACCCTATATCCGCTAACATTGCTCGTCGAGGGAGGCGATGGCTTGGCATACGTAACACATGTCCTAACCATCTCAGTCTTTGTAACTTAGATAAGATGAGATAAGGTAAGCTTTATTCCAAATCAGTACTTGTGATACAGAATGGAATTCTCAGCATTTTACTACAATATTGCATCCAGTTAGTACATTAACAATAAATATAGTTCTACACGACTTCGTCGACTGATTTCCCCTGTTTACCTAGAACTCTACGCCTAACCTCCATGTTGCTCACCTTATTATGCCACTTTACACGGGAAATAGAACGCAGGCACCTATGATCAAAGACAGCTAGTCTTTTCATGTCTTCCACTCTCAGTGGCCAGGTCTCACAACCATAAAGGAGGACGGAGCGGACTGATGAGCAGTACACCCGCCCTTTGGTCGATAGTCGAACATCTCGTCTACGCCAGAGTCGGCGTAAACTAACAAATGCGAAACGAGCCCCTTGTATTCGTGCTGAGATTTCGTCAGAGATCAGCCCGTTGGGGCTGATGGTACTTCCCAAATAAGTGAAGCGGTCAACGTGCTCTACCACTTCACTTCCTATTTTTAAACTAGGCGTCGATGTAGTCCAGTCCTGTAACATCATCTTGCATTTGGCGGGAGCGAATCGCATGCCAAACATTCGTAGATTGCGGCTCAAGGTGTTTAGAAGACTCTGCATTTCGTCAGCGTCTTCGCCTAGAAGGACTATATCGTCTGCATATTCCAAGTCAACGAGATTATTCCCCGGTAGCAAGTCAATCCCTGAGTCGCTGAAGTCACCTAGGGTTAAGTCCATTAACACATCTATGATGAAGTTGAATAGAAAAGGAGATAATGGGCATCCTTGACGGACACCACTGGTCGTCATCAGTTCAGATGACAGCTCGCCGTAAGCCCTCACCTGGCTGTATGAGTACGAGTAGAGTGCCTTAATCAGTGCAATATATTTTCTTGGAATTCCCTTTACAGCCAAGCATCTCCAGAGAACTTCCCGATCGACAGAGTCGAATGCTGCCTTTAGGTCAAGAAATATAATGACTGTTGGACGCCGGTAGGAATGCCTATGTTCTAGAATCTGTCGGAGGGTGAAGATATGATCAATACACCCTCTTCCTGGTCTAAAGCCTGCCTGGCTCTCTCGTGTTTGTGCTTCCCGAGCACCACTCAGTCTACGCATGATTATTGAGCCTAAGACTTTAGATACTATATTAGTCAAGCTAATCCCTCTGTGATTATCACAGGAAGACTTGTCTCCCTTCTTGTATATGGGGATAATCAGTGACTTACACCAACCCGATGGGACTTCTTCTGATTCCCAGACGCTGCCTAGTACCTCAGTTAATCCGGACAGTAAGCTGTCTCCACCGTACTTAAATACCTCTGGAGTCATTCCATCAGGTCCCGCTGCTTTGCCTAGTTTCAGATTGGTGACAGCTTTAGTAACCTCAGTTAGTGACGGAGGACCTGTGTTTATATCCCATTCAGGGAGGTGTTGGATGCTCGGAAGGTTGAGCGTGGCTGTGGGCAAATTAAACTGCTCCTCATAATGCTCTTTCCAACGATCCAGTCGTCTATCCTGGGAGCTAATTATAGTGCCATTTTTTTCCGAGATTGTCTCACTGATGATTTGTCTTCTCCCACCCGTTTCCCTGATGAGTCCAAAGAGTTGCCTGGTGTTGCCTATCCTCGAAGCTTTCTCCATCTCTTTGGCTTTTGTCGCCCACCACTGTTCACGGTCCTTGCGGAGACTTTTCGTAAGTTTCCTCTTGTGCAGCTTTCGCTCCTCATTGAATTCGGAGCTCGCCGGAATAAGTCTTCTAGCATCTATCAGTTCGGATGAGGCGGTGGAGATCCAGTGGTTTTTACTCACCTTTGGGTTTACCTTATTCACAGCTTTTACAGCTGTATCTATGGCTGCCTGGATATTTTTCCAAGCTTCTTCAGGGTGAGCACAGCTGTCGAACACAGATATGTGTTTAGCTAGTTCTTCCTCAAATACGGATTTAGTTTCCTGATCGAGCTGGGGACGTGATGGTTTTACCGCCAGCTGTTTCCTACGTCCGTTCAGTCGTAAGCACACCCGAGCGCGGACCAGTGCATGGTCGGTATCTACGCACGTGTTCCAGAAGGAGCGACAATCTCCTACCGACCCACGCCAACGATAGCTTATTGCTATGTGGTCTATTTGTGTCCAGCGTTGGTTTGATGAAGGGGGTCTCCAAGTCAAACAGTGTCTCTCCTTGTGTTTGAAGTTAGTGCTTACAAGAAACAAATGATTATCAGAGCAGAACTGTAGGAGACGGTCACCGTTGTCGGTTCGCTGGCACGGAACTCCATAGGTGCCACCGACATCCTTCTCAGATTGACACAATTTCCCTACTTGAGCGTTAAAGTCACCAGCTAGAACGACTATGTCTGAGCGTTTAGCCTTTCTCACCAAACTAGACAGCTTTTGGTAGAACTCATCCTTCGTTTCATCTGAACTGCAGTCAGTGGGGGCGTAGGCGGAGATTACGAAAAGGCATCGGCGAGTAGTGCAGTCCTTCCTCCTTCTTACTGATCCGTTCAGGCGGACAGCACACATTCGGCTATCTACCGGGATCCAGTCAAGCAATGTCTTTTCTGCCCTAGTACTCAAAGCTATCCCTACGCCAGCTAATCCTCGTGAACTAGCTGTGGCATCTCCTGACACCCTCAAGGTGAATTTTGCAGATTCAACCTGTTGGCCAGGTGGGGTTAGGTGAATAACCACACTTGGGTCTTGTATGCGTGTTTCTGAAACACAGCATACATCAATGGCTCGTGATGCCAGGGTCTTGGCTAGTGATGCTTGTTGTCCTATTTGGCAAAGTGTCCTAACATTAAGAGCTCCTATATGAAATTGGTGGCGCGGCTTTAAGAGGCTGTCGGTGGTGGTTTTTTGGCTTCCATCGTTTTTAGTGGACGCAGAGTGGAGAGGAAGTGGAGAGCTATCAAGTCGAGGAGTTGCATCAGTGGAAGGAAGGCAAGATGATAGAGATGAAGATGAAGACAAAGATGAGTGAGTAATAGGGAGGTTTCGTGTGCGTTTCGGATTGTGAGGGCGATTGTTACTTCCCGGCTGCCTACACCGTGGAAGTTGGTTGCGTGACTGCAGAGCCCAGGGGACAACTGCTTTTGACCGGTCACACGCGGCCTGTTTTTGTTCGTTCTCTTTTGTTTGGTGTGCCTCAGTAGCATACTTATCACTCCTGCCCTGTGACACGGCAGCAGGAAGCGCGGTCGTTGTTAATCCGGGCCACGGCCGATCCAGCATGAAATTTTGTGATTTTGTATTGATCATGATGTTGGATTGGGTAGCTGCTTTTTGTCTAACCGCTATCCAAACAACCTGCCTGGCATGGTAGGACCTCAAGAGACATAAGTCTCAGCCAGTATAGCTTGATTAGGTCATTGCGGTGTTCAAGCCCGACCACCACAGTATCAGTTAAAAAGACTGAAAGTATGAAACAGTAGTAAGGATATATTTCTTTGCAGTTATACCCAGATCCAACATCTAAATGATCTTTTGTGTTTATACGACTATCTGGGTCATTCATGTATTCATCAATCGCTATTAATATAATGTGGGTAGTAATTGAATTGTATGTAAAAACATAACTCGTGGTAGGATTGGTTCCAATGGTCTTCGGATAACTAATAATAATAATAATGATTTACTTTATTCCAAAGTCATTGATAAAAACAAAACATGTAGTTCAGCGAAGAGTCTCTTTTTGGCGAATTCATTTTCTTAGCTGTACAATCGCAAATATATTTGTGTGTTATCTACTGCTGAAGACATTTAACTGTTGCCATCTAGCAATAAAATTCACTCTTTAAATGTAAAACGAATCAAAAATTCCGTCTCTTGATGTGAAACTAACAAGAAGAACTGATGGGAGCCTAAGAAGATTGATCCGTAGGAAAGCTACTTGGAATGGTCCACTAATAAGCTTCCATAACTGGGTACCCACTCAACAAAAGCGGAATTTAATTAAATCACTCATAGTGGAATTACACTCTACCACAGTGCATAAGTTTTATTCTTATATCAATGATTTAAGCGCTGCTATTAATTCTGTGTTAATCATGGCTATCATTGTTAGCCTCTCCCAGGTAAGTCATACTCACTGCCTTCACGTGGCGGGGGTGTTACTCACAAAAGTGAAAGGGCTAAAACAAACGTCTGGCGCTTATAGCCGAACTGGTAGACATGCTGGTCTACCTAGGGAAGCTGGAAAACCTTGATTCCAAACCTATGATATACATGGGCTCTAGAATCTAACTGATCGAATAGTGTGTGATCTTGTTTTGGTCACTAATAACCGTGGGGACGCAGCTATTGACACTTCTCTACGGGCTTATGGTTCCGATATCAAGTCAGAGTCTCGGAGGGCGGTGGCCCTTTCAGACAACCACATGTTTCATTCTGAGTGTCCGGACAGTCCAGCCCTCACACAAACTATGAGATTTTGTGTAGCACATCTTTTGTTGCCCATTGTGTACCAAGTTTATGTTTTAATAATAATTAATTTGATATAGGGATTCGGGAAAACAGGAAAATCCTGTATTCACTTGTTTTACTAGATTAATGTGCATGGATATTTCCTCTTGGTAGTGGTTTATGTCTTCAGTTTTAACAGGTATTATCAAACTATTAGGAACCCATTTACCTCCGCAAGTTAGTTATTTCAATTAAAATATATATTTGAATGTGTTTGCTATTCTTATTAACATGGTATAGGTATCCCTTAACATGCACTGGTTGTCTCCTTTTACGTATTTTGAATTTCTGTGAGTTCGTCACAGTCGTTAAATTTTAGCTTTTTACAAATATCATTTCACTGTCACTTATTGTATCTGTTCAGTTGTATAGTTTGCAAAATAAAAGTTATTTAAAAGACGGTTGGAGCGAAGAAAATGTTCTTGTCGACGAAGTCATCAACTGTACAGTCAATGAGTGGGAAAGTTCCAGGATTATTGCTGGTTAAAGGTCAAATTAATAAAATTAGAAAGTGTAATGATCAGGAAGATCGGGTAGTAAAGACATAGTAAGATCATAATTACTGATAAACGACTGTTTGTGCAAATACGGATTAAGGACGTAATAATAACAAAATAGGAAGTTCGGATATATATATAGGATCATCAGTGCCTTAGCTTTTCCTAGATGCCTTGGTTGCAATCCATTTGATAGGTTTGATCAAATCTTGTATATGACTTTGAGGGACTTTACAAATGGAACTGAATTCACCAGATGTTCTGTTACCACCCTTACCTTCTCCTTTCGCCAACCATAAAAATAACCACAAGTAAAATTACTTAACAGCGTAATTGTTATCATTTCGACGTTGTGATATGATTAGTTATCCCACTATGTTCTTAAAAACTCGTTTAACTCTTTATCTATTTGAAAATTGTAGTTGGAGTACAAACGAATGCTGGTCGGTTTACTTGTACATTTGTTATCGTGTGGACATGTACTCCCTGTAATAAATACAATGCGTAGACTGTTTGTACGAAATCGTGTGGACGTTTCGATTGTCCGACATTTTGTTACAGAAGTATGTGTTATTTTTAAAGCTAATGCATACCATTTTGCTTCATTATGGTGTTTTGTAAATGTTCATCTATATAGCATAAATGTCAAGAGAAAAGGGATTATTATATAACTGCTTACCATTTAGTAGATAATCACAGAGCAAGTGACATTCAATAAATCAATGAATTAAGCACTGTTGGTAAGTTCTGATACTCTCGATACCAGAGAAATATATAAAAATATATTAAAGGTCAAAGGGGTCTCTCGTCAAAACACTCTGGCTGTGAAAGTGAACATTAGGAAAGGAAAGTATGATAAAATGGTATTGATAAGGCCTAATGGCGCTTAGTCATTCTAATAGTTCTAATCACTACCTTTTCTTAATGAAGTGATGCGACGTATAGCAACTTGAAACGTTTTGCTCTACTACCATGCCGTGTTGTCTGAGTCTGTTGAAATATTCCATATATATATATATATATATATATATATATATATATCTTGTCTACCTGCAAAGTGGACAATCTGAATGACTAACACATTTGTAAACATCAAAAGAGACAAAGTGTTTATAAGTTACGTCATAGTCCTTGATGTTCTTGCCACATTGGAATGAATGGATCAGAGACAATGTATATTCGAAAGCATTCCCGTAGTGGCTTCATGATTCACACGGTCACTGTGCTAATTTGTGGTTTGATGAATTCGTCATTTAGATTATGGCTTTTAGGTGTGCCCCTGGCCTTGTGTTTTCCCATGGCCGTTTTTTTTATTCCTTTACGTCCCGGGTGGAAAATACTGCTTCAGGCTAGAGCTTTGATGTTTCGGTAGCGGTGGTTTCCTTTTTACGAGGTAGGGTTGCTAGCCTACACCCAACCTTCCTTCTTTAGCGATCCTACTACCGTCTTGGCGATGTTTAGGATTGCGTCGGCCGGCGATTGAACTCTGGACCACATACGTGGTTAGCGAGTGGTCTGCCGCTAAACCACCGGCGCACCATGACTGTGTATAGTCTTGTAATTTGTGACCCGATTAGTTTAAAATTTCTGAACTTTTTAAGTGGTTGTAGATATTGTAAAATTATTTTTCCAAGGGAGAGTATTTGATGTTTAGCGTTGACATAAGTTTTGAATTTCAACTCAAGAGAAAGTATTTTTGCATCTTTCTTATGTAATTTTCCGTATCAGTGTCAAGTAATAATGTTTTTTGTGAGCCTATGTAAAAGTCACCAGGGTTCTTTACTAAGTCAATAAGACTTGGTAGCGGGGTGTAATGCCAAAGTGATAGGGCACTATCAACTAGCTTTCACTGTCATATGATGTAGTATGAGGAATCGTAAAGGTTCTTCACTCAATTCAATTCACTTTCTCCGTAGGAGCACAAAGTTTGAAACTCATAGAGAATATTATCGTTTGTTCATTTGTCAGGGGTGAATTTGAAGAGCTATGTATACATTTAGGTATGCCATGTGAAAATATATTCCTTGGTGGATCAGGAAAAAGTGTATTTCACAACTTTTTTTTGCCTTCTTTGTCAAACGAAAGCACCAGATTTGCAGTATAGAATGTGTCAACTTTATCTCGAGAATTGTTTTTAGCTGCAGAAAGTCATATTAATTATATAGGATTATTATTGAGGTAATAACATTTTTGTCAAAGGACTAATCAGAAGTTAGGTATGAAGACTAAATGACATATAGTGGAATAATCATCACAACCAACATAAAAACAAATTAATAACTATATGTGTGGAAGGAAATCCATGCCTTGCATGCCTTACAACGAAAAACTCATTTCTTTGTAACGCACAGCAACAAGACTACGTAATACTATGCGAGGATGCATTTCGAATTGAGATCAGTTGTTTAAAAAATGTTATTACCTCATTAGTTGTATGTATATTTATTTTAGGTGATCTGTAACTGATAAAAACCCTGGAAATAAAATGCGCATAATTTTAGGCTACAAATGTTCTTTTTGCTTTGTAAAAGAAACGTCATATGAGTTGTCTTCTGTTTCTTTCACTTTTTATCAAAATGACATGCAGATAATTTCTGAATTTCATGCAGCTTGTGAAACTCGAATCGCGCTGAACGTCGATCGTTTGGCTAGTTATTGTGTACTGATCACTGATTTTATTTGTTTCAGAGCATAGTTGTGGCTCCATTAGCTGATGAAGATTTGGCCAATTAAGTCTCAAACAGTCTTTTTGTAAAGATTTCAAGAGGTTTCGGGGATATACGTCCTCTCAGAAAATCTTATTGATCCTTCCTTGTCCAAAAAGAGTGATAGTCATGCAGCATTCTTAACAAACTTCCTGGCCATCTGAATCAGTAGTGCTTCACAAACTCATCGGTTGACTTTCTCTGAGTGCCTGACACTGTGCTTAACCTCATAGTTTCCAATCATATTGTACCACCTAAGTCACACAGACTGAACTATATGGTCAAATACATCTAAAGTTTTCATACCTTCCTCCTTCCAAAGCCATTCCTCACAACCATAAAGCAGGATGGAGCAGCTGAAACACACTTCGCATGTTCGTTGATGGATAGCCTTATATCACATCTGAGCCAAAGATGGTGTGTGCTAGGTGATGTCAAATGAACCAACAGGAGTTCTCCTCAGTGACGAGTCAACAATCCTCAAAATATGTATCACGTTCATTGGGTACATCGACAGTGAAGTGAAAGCAGATTGACAACAGTAGACTTACGCGGCAGACCCGCCGATTGGACAACTCTGTCTGACATGGTTTCATGATGAAACTATTTCAGAATTCCATATTCTTAATCCTGTAGAGTTTTTAGAGTTTTATCTTCCCTCCTACAGCAGTTTTTATAAAAATCGTTTCCTTAATGTACCTAATTAGTTGACAAGTGTCACCTTTGTTTTTTCGCTTCGTTTTCTTACATCTGTTGGCAGTCGTTCTTAAGACTAATTATACTGCGTTTAAGCATATTTTGATACCCATCATGTTTGAAACGTGCCTTTGTTGTGCCTCATGAATCGACTAGTTTGGACAGAATGGTAGAAATCCAGTTGTTTGTACTAACCTTTGCATATAAGTTATCAACACTCATTAACTACTGTTTCTAGAGAAAACTAAGTAGAATGCCAGGTATCCTCATGTTGTGTGTTGCTTTCATACTCAGACTAGCATATTTTTGCATTTTACAGGTCAAAGCTACTCTCCCTGTTCTCGTGGGAAACGACTTGTTATCTCAAAAGGTGTAAAGGGTGTTCTTATCACTATATTCAAATTTGTCAAACGAATTGTCTGGAAAGAATTATGGTACTCTATAGTAACCCCGAGCACGCTTTTCTGATTGGTTCCGATTCCTTAATTGAACACTGAAATCGCATGCTAGGATGAATGTAGTTGGAGCCGTTTACCTTTGACAGTAACCTGAAAGGTTTTTAATGATATGAAGTCAGCCAGTGGGAAGCAGAGGTTATAAAAAGCATCAGTTAGTTTCATGGTGTCTTCTTCTTTTCGCAGATTTCATCAGTGTGACTGAATACACTGAGCAATGCTTAGAAAAGTCTACTTTATACAGTTTTCCTCAATTTTTATTAGACACAACTATACGCACCTATAGATTTGTTAAACTCCGTACTCATATTACAAAGTCGTTTTGAGTCTTTTAAAGGTTATATATGTACCATGTTTGTGTTTTTCATCGCTGAAACTTAAATGGTTACTTCAGTACGTGCTTTCGTTGGTTGATTCCTCTGTAATGGTAGCGTTTGTGTCTTACTTTCATATATAAGAAGCCTGGACGATGTATTATTTGAGATTTGAAAGTTGAACCATATCAGCAGTTTGTACAATTACTCACTAGCTGTTTTATTGGGACGTGTATAGGGGTTTATTCCACTCACCTAAATAATCAGAGGTACTGAAGAACTTAAGTTTTGATATTGCTCAAAGTCTAATTGTGCGATTAATGTTTTGAATTTTCGGTAATTCTTAGTTCCTAAAAACTTTATTTTCCACTATATTTTAGGTGTTAAAAGTGGCTGCTCCACCATACAAAACATCCTTTTTGAATGGGCTTTATCCTCTGGTTGTACATCCTGATATCAACGATGGATTGAAAGCAGGAAAGGACACCGATTATGTGAATGAATTCCTTGGTATGTGTGTATATGTAAGATATTGAAAGTCAGGCTGTATAAAGTATATTCTTCCCAATGAATTCTCTTTACATACGTGCAGTTTTCAGATGTAATGTTTACTTCTCCAATAATGGCCAGTTAGTTATGCAGCGGATACATTCATTCTCAAGTAGAATAATAGAATAGTTAGTTATAAGGTGATGAAATAAATAGTATGCGTGGGACAAACGTGCTGGGTTGAATGCAATCACAAAATATTGTGAAATGCAAAACGATGATGGTGGGGAAGTTGACAAGTCTCTTCAAGGTTGTAGAGTGTGTCGGTTGAGTGGCTAGTACAAAATAGTATGCATTAAAGAGGACGTAGTAAGACAGTGGTTAGGAATTCATGATGAAATAGTCAAATAAGAAGTGAAACAGTTGGAGTCATATGTTGAGAAAATCAATTATGTCATAATGAGAGAACACAAGTAGATTGGGTAGTGGAATTATTTAATTGGAAATTGATATGCAGTTATAGGCACACGACGGCCGACATGTAACAAGATCACAATTTGCACACACATGGATGTAATACTGCGTATGCAACTTCCTGCAACTCGACTGCATCTTCTTGACGAAAATATCTGCCAAAAATCCTCTCTCCCTGGAACGTGAGAGGTCGGGAAGCCGTAGCCCGACAATTTCCCACGCGGGTCTCTCGTTGTCTTCGGCCACTGTGGCGGCTTATGACCAGTTTCGGTATGGACCTGTTGACCGAGTAGATAACGTCTCCATTTGTCTAGCGCCCACACTATTGCTAAACACTCCCAACCAACCATTGAAAACTTCTGCTCCGTGTGATTTAGAACACGTCTGGCATATTCGACAACTTCACTCTATCTTAGTACCGGGTCTACTTCTTCGCCGCTTGCATCTTTGCACACCGCGAAATGTCTTCCCGGTACAAGTAGTTTTAGCATCTTATTCTGGTGGTGTAGAAGTTGTTAAATGCGGATGAAGTATCTCCTGTAAATCTTCTGGCCAAACAAACGTCGGCTCACCCCATAGTTTATATAGCCCAATTGCTATCTTGTTGGGGTCTCTTACAAACCAACTATAAAACACCGTTCTATGCAAGAACTGCCGTAGTTTCCTGTTTAATTTGTACGACTCAGTGCTTCTTTATCGTCAAGATTTTCTCAGGGATATTATTTCATGTCTCAACAGCGTGACATTCCTTTTGACAGTCTGGGATTGTATCTTGGTAATACGTAGCTCAAACTCTACAATGTGTCTTAAAACAGCTTCTCATGGTCACATCCAGTTTGACTGTTTGTGACGAGACCATCGTCGTACACCTCCAAGTTCTTCAAGTTTTTGTGTAACGTCACTGAGCGTCTGAATGTGAAAGGGGCGCATGTCAATGCAAACAGCATGCCGATATTGTTTCTGTTTCACAATGAATGCTGTCTTATCCCTGTCGCATTGTTTTATGGGTACTTGCCAGAGTTCTGACTTGAGGTCTAGCACTGTAAACAGACTTAAACTGTATAGACTATGCAAAGTTTCTGCAACAGAAGGTCTTAGTTTTGTTATCCTGTTGAATTTCCTATTTGCTTTCTTCACGATAGGGACTGAAGGTCAGCATTTTCAATAATAGTATCCTTTAGCATCTCCTTCACTTGTCATTCAACTTATTCTCAATGACCCGGGACTCTTCTAATTTTAAATCCTCTTCATTTTTCGACTAGTCATTGGGAATTCGTGCCCCATCCTATCACAGTCTAGCTGGGAGTTAACAGACACTGGAATAATTTAATTGAATTTTAGATTTTCCGGTCGAATGATTAGATCTAAGTGCTAGGTCTCAGGTTGACATTTCGGCCTCTTGTGCAGATGCTTCGACGATGCCTGGGCATGTAATTAGAATTTAATTTGTGGATGGTGACTAGCGGTGGAACCCAGAATGCACATTTCGTCCTATTTGGGACTCTCAGTTGGATATATCTGCATTCCCCATCCAATGGCGAGTCCCAAATAGGACGAAATGTGCATCCTGAATTCCACCGCTAGTCACCATCCACCAATTAAATAGACACTGAAATAGTTAGATCATCCACTTGCATAACAAAATTCATTTCATCAGAGTGAGGCAAGTCATGCAAGAAGAAAGAAAACGGAAAAGGAGGAAGGATAGCGCCTTGAGGGACACCAGCCTCAGTAAGCAAGGAAGTGGACGACTTCCCTTTATACACGGTGTACTGCTTTCTTACAGAGAAATATGAATGCAGCCATTTGACAATCCAACAGTCAGTTCGAGTTTCAACAAACTAAGTCAGGTGCAGCGAACAAATTTAGCCCCCTTGTCTAAACTGGAGACAGTGTTATGGTGCAAGACTGCGGCTGCATCTAATGTACTTCTATGTTTGTAGGCTAATTGTTTAGGATCGTTAAAGGCTTTAGATGAAGATTCAAGATTAAATAAGAGTAACTTTTACATAGTTTTAAAAAAAGGTGAGATCTAAATTTAAAACATGTCCCAGTAGATGACTTAGGTATAGATACACTTTTAATGTCCTTTCAAACGGCTGGCACGACATTTTCAGAAAAAGAATCGTTAAATATGTCCGTGAGTGGATAACACAGGATATCAGTGCATCTTTTAAGAATAAGCCTAAGCAAATCATATATATATATATATATATATATATACTATTTATTTTATCACCCTATAACTAACTAGTCTGTTATTCTACGTGAGAATGAATGTATTCGCCGCATAACTAAATGGCCATTATTAAAACAATAATTATTATACTTTATAAATGTTAGTACCAGAAGAGAATTCCTTGGAAAGAATAGTTTACATTCCTAAATCATACAAGATTTTGTTTAATTCGTCACCAATGCCTGTAAAGCAGCTTTAGTAATTGTTGTTTCCTTTTCCTTTCAGATTATTATGAGAAGGAGAATTTTTTGGCATCAGGTTTCTGAAATTCAGTTGAACGCTGTTATGTACACATATGAATGTTTTGCTCTTGTGCAGTTTTGTATGCAGTAGAGTAATACATTTTCAATTAAACAGCCTACTTCTGCTTTTGTTTTGTCAGACAAAACATTATACTTTGTTCAGAATACTGCAGTCACTTTTTTGCCATTATTTAGAACACAAACGTCGTACAATATAGTCACTAAGAGATGAGCTGCGCAAAAATAATAGAACAACAATACAGTGAAGAATAGAAAAACAGAAGACTTGAGGGATAACGTCATGTAAAGAGATAAGTGTACATACATATCACGAGCATTCAACCTTTCGAAAGAATAACAGAGAAGAGACTTGCATATTCACTATTCAATTTCTATTCTGAGTCATATTTAATAACGTAACGATGTGCCTGTCAGTCATAATACACCTCAATGTGCCCCTTGATTTCCTCGAAATTACAGTCACCCCACTGGATGCAAATCAGGCTATGAAGGTAGATGGCAACAATAGAAGACACAGAATCGCCGCATATTCTCAGGTCGAAGTAACCAGGTTTCACAGGCGTAGAGTAAGAGTGTGCATTGAGGATAATTGTAAACCCAAACTTTAACGACCACAATAATATTGCAGCCCGTTGGCATAGATGTTTCAGGTGGCTTATGATGCCTAGGCTTTCACTATAAGAGTAAGAATTTCTCCCATCACATACCACCAACAAATACTAGTAGCTAAATACATGAACTTCTCAAGTGCTTCTAACAGTTCCCTGAGGAAATAAAAATGGGAGAATAGCAGACATGACGAATAAATAGTATTGATTTTTCCTATCTTTGTTTACCCATTATTTAACCACTACTTGATTGTTAATTTCCCTCTTTACACCCACTCATGTCTCTTTCTCCATAAATTAACAGATAGCTTATTTCATCCTAGTTTGGGAATCATCGGCAGTACGCACCCACTGGGATTTGAACCCAGGACCTTCCGGTTACAACATAACTAATCCTTACAAACCAAACTATAGAAAGATAGCTTATTCACAAATTTCCCCCAGCACTTATTAATTCTCTCAGTCGAATAACACTATGAGCACAAAATTTATTCCCAACTCTCTCACATTCAATAATGTATAATAATAACACGATGACAGAAGCTCATGAATAAGTTTATATTTATAAGTTTCTGCAGTAATTTTAGTTATACCTTCTTCCAAAACATGTGACAAGGAAGCCTGTCATTGTAAGAAGCCCTCTCTCAAACTGTGAGACTGTGCGGCCCGTAATGTACCAGTTTTGTGTTTTGGTAGTAATATTGGCTTCTGAGTGGTAATAAATTAGTCGTAAGATATTGAAATTTATAAAAATAGAGTGATTGTACCACCGTTACGTCGAAATTCATTTCACATTCATGCCCACCTCAGATGGCTAAGGTATAACTAAGAACTCTCATAACAGCATATTACGAACGGTAGGCATACAAAAACGTGTCGCATCACCTCCGAGGATGATTGCAGGTACGAGATAGTTCCAGTCGGAATGTCGCTCAAATGCAGAGAAGGCGAAGGTTCATAGACATACAATAGCTACGCCAGGTTGATTCCTCACATATGATGATCATTTTGATCACACATCTCAGTACAGTCAGACTACATCACTAGACAAGCCCTCGAGTGGAACCCGAAAGGAAAGCGGTGAGTTGGTCGTCCAAGGGTGACTTGGAGGAGGTCATGTGAACAGGAGATGAAAGCATGTCGGCAGACTTGGACGGGGATGAAAAAGTTGGCAGAAAACAGAAGGCAATGGAGATGCGCAGCTGAAGCCCTATGTCCCTGTAGGAATTAAAGGATATAATAATAATAATACTGCCTCCTTCTAATGGAACATGCACACGTTTCACTATGTGTAAGGATAGATAAAAAAAGGTGCTTTCTACCTCAAAGTTGCATCAGCAGAGACAACTGCATTGAAGTTCCCAGTTGAAGAATAAATTATCGTAGCACTTGATATAAATCTTGCGTATTTAGCGAATTCATGTGATCACACATTACTCTTTGTCCCGCGGAATAGTGTGAAAGTTTCGTAGCCAGCTAGTTACGTTTATTGTGTCCTTAAAGAATTACACAAATCGGAATGGAAAGCTGCTATTAATCATGCTAAGCATATGTGCCACTTTCAAACAACAGGGGAATGCCTGTTCCGCAAAGTTGTTTTGAAGAATTGCTTCACACTACCCTAACCAAACAAGAGTGACGTCCCAATAGGCGCAACTGGTTATGTGCAGCAGCTAAAACAATGTACGCGTGAAATACAATGTGCAGCTCTCAGGAACGAGGGAGGGGAACTTTTTATATCCAACCAACTTTTGGGCGTCCACATACATTAGTCAGATTTGGCATTGTTAGGAAAGTAATTTGACCGATTTAATACCAGCTCTTCTAGGTTCTTTTATGAACTGATAGGGTGATTACTATAGAGAGATCAAGGAGGCAAGACCATTTGTGTATTGAAAGAGTGAGTTCAGCGTTTTTGGTGGATAATGGGTCATTTTCAAAGGTGGCTGCTCCACCACTTAAGCAAACCGATGGCAGGTTGAACTCGATAGCACAACAGCCATCACACACAAAACCACTGCCCAAAACGATATTCATAGATAACAGCATTCTAAAATTTGATTCTTCTTCCATACTATGACCCTTTCCACTACACTAGTTCCAGTTTTCAAAACAGCCAGTTTCTCTGCAATGATACTTACCACCTTTGCTACAGATATTTAGCAGTATTCACTTAATTATGCTTTGTACAGTTTGCCACAAAATTTTTAAAATTAAATTCATCGCAAAAATTTTAAAATTGCAAAAATAAACTTGCTTTCTGTTGTCTAGGTGTCTACTTGCTAACACCGTGTTTTTCACTCAAAATTAGCTAATGTTAGACCCAGCAAGGATTTCAGTTATCTAATACTCTCTGACAGCTTACTTTTCTGGTTTCTTCTGTTTTTTCTCTGGTGGCATTAAAGTGTTATTCCTATTTCAGCTGGTATATTCGAATTTTTCGGTATATCAAATTGTATCATCAAACAGACATATATTTGTGCTACAGTAAAGCGAATGTGCATTAGCCACCCCTTTTTGTGAGTACTCATTACTTAAATAACATCGTGTAGTCCATTAACCCGGAGAAAGAAGGAAGGTTAGGAGGCGTGCGGTCAACAAGTCAACTCGGGAAAATCAACACAACCACTACAGAAACTTCCAAGCATCAGTGAGTTATGAAACACGAACTTATTCTTTTCTAAATCGCAGAGACGAAATGTCGCGGACTGGTGAGACCCTTCTGTAAGTCAGTCAGTTGATATGTCGTCTTCCGATGAAAGCAAAATAAAGGGTGGGGACATAAAATGTCTGCACTACGTTTAGAGCTGACAAAGCAGCTCAGATTACACGAGAAATGAGAAGACATATTACATAAGTGCTAGAAATTTGTAAAAACTGATGGAATGGAAGTGGTCTTTCCAAAGTATTAACTGAAATGTCAGTAACCTACTCCGGTCACCCAGACAAAAACTTCGAGCATACTTAAGATTTAGCTAGCATGATGTCACCAACAGCATCGATAGGTCTCATGCTGTGGGAACCAACCTCTTGCAGGATCATGACAACAACATTGAACTCGGAAGAAAAGAATGTGGCAATTACACAATCCTATATTCATAAAAACAGGGCAGGAGAAGGAAGACTTTTGCAGGGAACTGTAGTGAGTAACACAAGATGCCAGCTATATGTTGTCACCCAAGTTGTGAGCTAAATATACTGGAGGATAATTCATCATGGGCCAATGAGTGTTCGGTGAAATTAATGATGATGGAGAACTCTTCACAGATATACGTACCTTCAATGATGTGGTGATTGGAGACAGAGCACAAAGATGTACAAAAGGTGAGATGGATTTCACCAGATGAAAAAACCGAAAGTCAGATAAACGTCATCCTTATTTTAAAAAAGTGGTAGCGTAGTCTATTGAACAAAAGATCGAGAACGGTACCCGATGTAGGCTCACATCGCTCACCATCTAGCACAAAGAACCCTCCAGGTTAATTCGAAGGATTTCCAAGTAGCTCTAGATGGACCACAATTGAAGTTCAATAATCGGAAACTGAAGGACGAATTCAGAATGACTTAAAATATCCCACATGGAAACAAGTAATTTAAAGACCAAAACTCAGCATCACGTATCATCATCGAACACAACATAGAATGACATTCTACCGTTTACCTCGACTTCATTGACTTTTAGGAGGCCTTTGATAGCGTCGACCAGTATTTAGTTAAGCAACTTCTTCAGCACTACAGCTTGCAGGAACAAGATCCGCATTGTTTACACTTTTGTCGAGTTAGTCCTTCTAAATGTTTCAAAGATCTAACTCGCTCTTGACGAAACACATTTAGAACAGTTTGCGCCGAACTTTCATCAACAGTTCTGATTGCTTACTTCATACTAAAGATCTAATGGCCGGGAAGGATAAGCAACTAGGAACTCTGCTTTTCAATAAACCATAGAATCAAACGACCGACAAATATGTACAAAAAATGGGAACTTACTGCATATACACCTTGGAAGCTGATGAGTGACAACACACGCTCGGTGAACGAGCGTAACCTTTGCAAGAAGTGACGCGTTGAGCCTACAAGGGTGACATGGAGGCTATCCTGTGAGGAGGAAATCAAATGGGGACAGTCGTGAAATCAATTTAAAAATTGATAGGAGTGGGTCTAGTACGACAGTGATGTGTTGCTTTCCCCCACGTCGCAAATGATAATTGGTAACCTACGTTAGGTCTACCTATAGCAGAAGTATAACAAAGAGCATTTATACGCTACTCGTCCAAAAAGTCTTTACTAACTAATAAACTATTGTAGTTAACAGACGCATTGAATATGATGTACAATATACAGTTCAATTTGTTATATCAATTGTTCATGTTATAGGTTACCCTCGCTTAACATTAGCTTTGATGTGTGATATATCAGTCTAATTTCGCTGTCCGTTTTCAACATAGAACTTTGCACCGATGTGCAGCATTTCGAGTCACCACACTTCACT